CGGGCCGTGGTGACCTGCTCAGTGTGCTGACCTGCTCTGCTGTGGGGCCTGAGGGGCCATCGCTGCCCTGGGGAGGTCACAGGGACACAGGGACCGTGCCCCTGGTGCCCAGCACTGCCCTGTGCCCTGGGTACCCAGCACTGCCCTGTGCCCCTGGTGCCAGCTCCTTGAGCACCAGAACTGCACAGAGCTGTTGCCTCATCCCCCACGTGTCCATGAGTGGGCAAGGGTCGGGCACTGCTGGCTATTTCCTGCTCCATGGGCTGTGCCCACCCCTCATTCCAGCCAGGGAGGGCAGCACAGGTGGGAGCAGCCTCTGTTCTACCTGGGCAGCTCAAAGCTGGCAGGCAGGAGCAGCAAACAGCGTGTCCTTGGTGGGACATCTGTGCTTTAAAGGGGGCTCCTAAATGTCCCTAAATGTCAGTTTAAACTTGTGCCCTGGATGTTGCAGGAAAGGCTTTTGGGGGGTTTGCTGGCTGGCACCAAATGGGTGCAGAGATCCCCCCATTCCAATGCCTGGAACAGCGAAAACCCTCCAGAGGGGAGCTGGACGCTTTCCTAATGGAATATTTTCCTGTTTGGAAAACGGGGACGTGACAAAAATAACGCTGTTCCCCTGCAAGGATAATTTTATCAAGGTCCCGGTGGGAAGGGGGCACAGTGCCAGCCTGTGTCCTGCCAGCCCTGCACCGTGTCCCTTGTGCCTGGGGGCTGTGCAGCCCTGGGGACACTGGGGACACTGGGGACACTGGGGCTACTGGGGACACTGGGGACACTGGGGTACTGGGGCTACTGGGGGCACTGGGGATATGGGGATACTGGGGACACTGGGGTACTGGGGATACTGGGGACAATGGGGGCACTGGGGATATTGGGGACAGTGGGGATATGGGGATACTGGGGATACTGCGGACAAGGATACCAGGGACACTGGAGTACTGGGGACACTGGGGACACTGGGGTACTGGGGGTACTGGGGACACTGGGGATACTGGGGCATTCTGTGCCCACCCATCATGAGTCAGGCCCAGAGAACCCCATGGGCTGGGGAAAGGAGCAGGGGGAAAAGGAAAACCCAGTTTAATTTAAGGGCAAATCCTGAGCCTTTGCTTTGCTGCACAGCTCTGTGGAAGGGATTTGGGAGCACTGCTGAGCTCCTGGGCTGGGCTGGGTGAGGAGCAGGCCCTGAGCCCTGTGCTGGCCACAGCTGTGCCCTCCATGCAGCACGGCCCTGTACCAGCTGTGCCCACAGCTGTGCCCACAGCTGGCACTGCTGCAGGGCTGCTCACACAGGCTGGGCTCACAGGCTTGATGCACTTTGGAGCCAGCTCCCAGAGTTACTGGAATTTAAACCCAAAGTAGGTCAGTGGCGTTTTGGTTCAAAGTGTTATTTGCTTACAGAGCAGGTTTTCAGAACAGGAATTGGAATTTCATCAGGAATTCCTGAAATGCTTTTAAAGGAGATCATGGTAATTAGCAAAGCCAGTGATTTAAATAATCTCTGCTGGAGTAAGAAGGTGGTTTGATTTGAATTAAAATTAAAAGATTAGATGGAGGAAAACCTCTTTTATTACTGATATCATTAATCTTCCAACCGAGAGGGTTATCAGAAAGTTACAACATGAGACAAAACTTCTCACCCCTGACAAACCCTCCCGAGTTTTGCTCTTCCCAAGCAGATTCAGTGCTTCCAGCTCCATGTGCCGTGGCCCTTGCAGGTATTTCCCACAAAAAGGGAAGCAGCGCCTGACAGGACTCGGGCTGTGATGGGAGATTTCATCCAGCTCTGGGCAGTCAGGGGCTGGGAGTCCAGACTCTGCCCTCTCTGTGCCAAGATCCTGCTCAGCAGAAGGAAATCATCCCTGTGCCTGGTATTTTCCATTGTAAAGCAGCTGCTCGTGTGCTTTCAGGAATTGTGCTTCAGACATTGTTAATCCCTCAATGAAAAGTGTAACAGCAGCATTAAGTATTGTTCATTTTCTGTGTGCTTGAACTATAAAACCATCCTCGAGCATCATCCCTTTCCTTAGCGCAGGTTTTTCATTTCAAGGGATTAAATGTTCTTTGTGCAGTGCTGTGCCGCTGATTTCGGTTCCTTTTGTGTTTCTGTCGCACGGGGAGCAGCAGGGATGCTGATCTGCTCCTGGAGGAGAGGTTTTCCTGCAGGAGAGGTTTTTGGTGACGATCTGCCCCTGCAGGAGCGGTTTTCGGTTTTCCTGGGCAGTGTCCCCGGGCAGGGGATGTCCAGTGACTCAGAGCCGATTTCCTGCAGCAGTTCATAATGGTGTTTGATTTCCTGCAGGAGTTCATAATGCTGTTTGTTTTCCAGGGAATGTCTGGCCCAGCCCTCGGAGGGCTGCGGGCACAGCTCAGCACGGGCTGGAGAGGAACTCGGGCCCTGTGAGCATCCCCCTGTCTGTCCCACCCACCCCAGACTGCTCCAGCGCTCGCATTTATTTTCACCATCACCATTTTCATTTTCATTTTCACCAGCAGTTCCAATCTCCACCTGCAGCACATTCCCTCCCTGCCACCCGGGACAGCACTGCAGCTGTTCCAGGTCTGACAGCCGCCAGAACCCGGACCTGCCACCACCCTGTCACCAGGGCTTTTGGGATCCCCTGTCCCTGAGCGCCCACCTGTCCACAGCTGATTTTCCCTCTCCCATTTTCACTGGTTCGCAGTTGATGTTCTATAAACGAGCCTCTCCATTTTCACTGGTTTGCAGTTAATATTCTATAAACGATCTTTCCCTCGGTTTGGATCCTGTTTGGCCTTGCGGACCCTGAGCTGCAGGTGATGTTTAGCCCTGTTATGGCTCTCCGGGGTCCCTTCACACCCCCGAGGTGCCGCTGAGGGTTCGGCCGTGCCGAGGATGAGCCGGCAGCTCGGGGCACGTCCCATTCCTCCCTCCTTTCCCTTCAGACATTCCAGGGTTTGTTCTGCCTCCCTGCTGCCCCGGGCGGGGCTGGGGAGCAGGAATGCGGCGTTACCGCATTGCCGAGCACGCCCAGGTGTGCCCAGGTGTGCCCCGCCTCAGCCCAGCTCGCACACTCCGTAGCCCGAGGGACGATATTTTTATTTTTTATTATTCCAGCTCTGTGCAGCCCTGCTGGGAGCTGCTGGCCCTCAGCCTGGCGGGCCTGTGTCCCTCGGGTGCGGATGGGACTGGGTGACACCGACGGCAACAACAGGAGGGACCTGGAGTCTCCTGGAGGGTCCTGCTGAGCCCCCACCAGTGCGGGACAGGAGCTTTGGGGTTGTTTCACTGGAGAACATGGAAAGGGCTCCATTTTGCTGAGGATGAAAAGCAGTTTTAGCTGGAATTCAGCATGTGGGCAGCTCTGGGGGTGGTGGCTGCGCTCTGGGCTGCCCTCACTCCAAACAGGGCTTTAGACGTTCCTGACTTTGCTGCAGCAGTATAACAATAATAAAGTTGTGTTTCCATTAGCATAACGGCCCTGCCCTGCCCTGGCAGCCGGAGTGAGTGCGGCGAGCCAGCCCTGTCTGGAGGGAGCCCTTTTGGGTTAAATAGAGCCATTTGGGTTAAACGGAGCCCATTTGGGTTAAACTGAGCCCATTTGGGTTAAACGGAGCTCATTTGAGTTAAATAGAGCCCGTTTGGATTAAACAAAGCCCATTTGAGTTAAACGGAGCCCA